TTCTCCAAACTAACGAGCTGGGGGGCTAACTGTTGGGGTCGGATTCCATCCTTTAGCGCCAAGCCAGACTTAGAATACTTCGGGAGTCTTTCGGCGATCGCCTCGGGGTATCGCTTCATTCACCTCGGGATATCCATCTAATCGATCTAGTATACCCGAGCCCGTCGCCTCGGGAATACCTTTAACAAGTAGTCTCGAGTACCCGAGCCCTTCGCCTCGGAGATACTCGAAATTAGACGTTTCAAGCACCCGAGCCCTTAGCCTCGGGGATGTTTGAACGTTATGTCTCAATCACCCGAGCCCTTCGCCTCGGGGATACTTAAACAAGACGACGAAGGCACCCGAGCTCAATTGCCTCGGGGGCACCCGAGCCCTTCGCCTCGGGGATACTTAAACAAGACGACGCAGGCACCCGAGCCCAATTGCCTCGGGGGTACCCAAGCCTGGTCGCCTCGGAAGTTTCTGAGCCCATCGCCTCGGGGACACCCGAAGAAGCCATCCTAGAATGCCCGAGCCAGTCCTTCATGTGTACCCGAGCCGGTTGCACAAGTTCCCCGAGGCGAAGTCTTCATTATCGCCCGAAGCAAAGACTTAGCAAATATCCTTCTCTAAAGGTATCATTTCCAAGCAAGTTATCATTTCCGAAAAAGAAGGATCATTTCCGATAAACTCGGAAATGATAAGGAAGAATCGCGAAGGATCAACTCAAATCAGGAAATCTTCCGAAAACTCCGAAGAATAAGGAAATTGTCCTAATCCGCGATATTCCGGCCGACTTCAAGATAAATGGAAATCTTCCGAGAATATCGCTGGAGAGGCGGCTTATCATCCCTATATAAAGAGACTCAAGGCTCAAACGAAGGGAGAGGCAATATCGCTCTAGAAATTATACTACGCAAAGCTCTCACAGCACAAACACTTTTTCTTTTACGATCAAACTCTTGTACGATCAAAGTCATCTTTTTCATTAATAATATCAAAAACACCATCTTTGGTATCAATCGTTTCTGTTGTTCTTTGAGAATTCACGATTATCGTATCCCTAAAACAAAACCCTAGACAAATCTTGATTGTGTTAGTTTCGACTTCCACAGAATTGCTTAATGATGATATTTAAGAGAATTTAGGTTCTTGATATGAATGTGCCATATTCCTCTCAAATCACATCAAAATAAATGTTAGTTCCATTTAAGTTTTACGGAAAACGTTATTTTTCATGAGACATGTTATTCTATTTCAAACCCATTAATCAATTATAAATTCTCACATCCATCTATGTAAACAATTCATATATTGTTAAAAGAATTAATATGTTTGAAAAAAGAAAATTAATATGTTACAAAAAAAAGCTTGCTCTTTGCATAACATTTAAATGCATAGCAAAATTATCCTAAAACTAAGTCGCAACATTTATTTGTACTTATTTTACTCCAAAATCTTTGACAAAAAAAAAAAAAATTTACTCCAAAATTTTGTAACCCCATTTAATTATCTGAAATTTACCTAGTTTGACCCAAATCTTTTTTTTTTTGTTATCCGAAATTAATTATAGCTCAAAAGAGTCGTTCCTGTGGAATGTTGTTTACAAATGTGATATGAAGCGGTTCTGTACGAATTTTTCGTGCCAGATGATCCGCTTTTACATTAGCATTGCGAGAAATTAAAGATAAAGAGAATGATGAGAATTCTTCCTTGTCGCTCTGAAATTCCTCCAATTACACTGAAAACGCCGGTCATTCGGTTGGAGAAGACACCATCTTAACCAGATCATAACAGTCTGTAAGGAACTCTACCTCTTGATTATCTGCACCTATCATACACTTCATCGCCCAGAGAAGGGCCTCGAAATCGATATGTAATGGAGATAAACTTCGACGGAGATTTGCAGCTCCCATGGTTGGCGGTTCTCCGTTTGATGATGTACAAAACCATCCTGGACCAGAGAACTTATCACTTTCTTTCCACGATCCATCCACAAAGCAACGACATCCTGAATAATTCGAGTCAAGTGAAGTATTCCCCACTCGAGACCAATTTACCATTCCACAGTACCATGAGTTTCATGATGAAGCTCAATTTGGGCAGACTGCCATAATTTGCTTCTTTTTCCGCTAACCGTAATACCTCCAACGGATCTTTATCAATATTTTCAAATATTTTTTCATTCCTTGCTTTCCATATATACCAGATAATCCATGGAAAGGCTGAAGAGTCAAAGTCCAAAGGTATTCTCCAAAATAAATGGTCCAAATTCGCAAAAATAGACTCCGTTGGAAAAATTCCCATTGCTGTAAGAATCTGAGTAGTTTGACCCAAATCTTAGGAAAAATAACTAGATTAACACCCAAATATTGTGGTATACTAGAATAACACAAATTTTGTGTTAAAAGACCAAATACTCATTTTATTTTCAATTCTATTAAAATAAACTAATTAACATATAATAATTAAATTAAATAAAAAATTAGAAAAAAACAAAACGAAAAAAAATATATAAAACGAAAAAAATACAATAAGAATTTTTTTTTTAAAAAAAAACAAAAAACAAATATTAAACAAAAAAAATTCAAAACAAAAAAAAATTAAATTAAAAAAATTATATATATAACGAAAAATAGAAAACAAAAAAAAATTGAAAAAAAATGAAATAAAAAATAAAAAACGAAAAAATTAGAAATTAAAAAAAATAAATATATATCTAAAACAAAAAAAAAACTTAATCATATATTAATGAGGAGAAAGCCACACATGAGCCATTTAATGTAAATAAATCTGTCGCGGTAAGAATATGTTTGTCATTACCTTATTATGCAGATTAAAATTTTATTTTCATCGATAAAACTGTCATCAGATGACATATTTTTTTATATACTATCTGAAATCTGTCGTAATATAAAAAAAATCTGTCATAACATAAAACATTTCGGTTGCAAATATATGTCATTCTAGCAATTTTTATTTTTAAATAACAAATCTGCTATCACACTCCAGATTTTTGTTAAAACAAAAAAAACTGTCATAACATAAAATAAATCTGCTATCACTAATAAGTCAAATTAGTAATTATTTTTTCATTAACAACTCTGCTACATTATGACAGATATTTATCAAAAAATATAAGTCTGACGCCACTGAAACAATAAATCTGCCACATATTTGAATAAATCTGTCAAAATTACAAAAGTCTGTGGTGTCATCATAAAATAAGTCTGTCGTAGAGAAAGAATCTGTTACAAATTAAATATCTGTCGTAACCTATTTCAAGTAAATCTGTGGGTGGAAAAAAATCTGTCGCAAAAAATCTGTCGTAGACAAATAAGTCTGTTATGGAAATTAAATCTGTCACAACTTATCCAACAGACTTTTCAAATAATTTTTTTTTCCTAATAGTTTTTGCCCACGTTTTTATTATTTATTTAAGGGTAATTTTGACTTTTTTTTTTATTCCTAACAAAGAGAGAAAAGGTATTATGGTCACGAAAATAACTCATTTAAACCTTAAATTTTTTAAGACATTCTAGTAATTAAAGTCATAATTTGGGTTAATCTAGTAACTCTTCCTTTAATTATTCATTATTTAGATGATAGTACAACCTTCTAGATAATCTTTACAATCAACGTGAAAGAAAATGACAAAAAAATGACTTTGGCCACGTACGTATGAAAATGCGGAAAAAGGACTTTGGGCCGTGACAGTGAAACTTAGAGATCTTGTCGGTAACCAGATCGCTTCACTTCATTAGTGATATTTTATCATCACTATTTTAGTATTTTAGTATTTTTCTTGTTTTTGTAGTTTTAAATTTCATGCTCTCCCTTGGACTTGGTCCGCTAATGATTCCGTTTGTTATGTAGCTTATCTATCACTGTAGAAGTTTCATTTAAATTTATGTATTTTTGATAATTACCAAGTTGGTACCCATTTGAGACATACATGAATTTGTAATGATTTTATTGTGACATTCTATAATTTGTGTCAGTTTCGTCACAATAGAATTATTGTGACCGAATATTCATATACTGTGACGACAATAATCGTATAATCAGCTATGTGAATTTGTAGTGGCAAGTAGAACTTGAAATCGTATGTGTATTAGAATTACCATTACGTGTTTGTTTTTTTAATCACAAGTCGCTTATTTATAATCTCAAATAATAATTTGTATAGATATATAGATAGAATAAATTAAAGTACCAAACTAGCCAAATGAAAATGCTAAGAAATTTACTATTAGAAAGGATGGATGGTACCTGCAACACTACACTCAGTGACTTAGCTTGGATAATGCTTAGATAAATTGCATGGACAGATATTTGATCGCGGTCGGCCAGAATTAACTATAGCGAAGAAAAATTTCAGTCAAAAGTTCCATTAGAAATTTAGAATATTTGTATTCACGATAGCCAAGTAAAACTTCTGCACCCTCTAAAATGTAAGTTTTCAGTAGTTTCTACGCATTGTTCCTTTATGCTATACTTACTCTTGTTCAGTGAATCAGTGCATATAGATTTGTCTCTATATATCCCTATGTCGGCAGATATTTCAAGAAAGATCCATAACAAGTATCACTAGTGCACGACTTTTTTGTCCAGATAATAACATACTTTAACTAAAAAAACTAGTGGAGTTTCCATCATATTTAGTTACAATGAATCCAACAACGGACCATAAGGGGCCCGACGCAACACGTATAATAATACACTGATATTTAGGATTCTACCATTGGACAATGAAAATTTTAAAGATTCAACACAAACTCTTAATTTTGAAATTATCACAATTTATAATAAAAAAAATGTTTAAGAGTCTTTTTAAGGACTTTACCATTGGACTTGCTCTTATCTTCTTAATTACCACTTTGTTACTATTACCCTTATGATAAATTTCCTTTAACTTTACTTTTGATAAAATATTGCCTTCTTTTTATTCTACTACGGAGTAATTTTTTGACTTTTCTCATTCCCTATCCTCTTCAATTTCTATAAATAGAGGGCATGCAGCGTAACAATTTACTCATCACTTACTCAACATACTACGAGGGTTATTAGAACTTGAAAAAAATGGCTTCCAAGGCTTTGATTCTGTTGGGTCTCTTCGCAGTTCTTCTCGTCGTCTCGGAAGTGTCTGCCGCAAGCCAGTCGGGTACGTAAATTATTTTATACATTTCACTCTGCTTACAAAAAAAAACAAGATATGTTCGTGAGGCTATTCGAACTTGAACTAACGTACCATTTGATAAATTTATACAACTATTTCGTCAGTTCCAATTTTGGACTTAGTAAAGTCAGAACACACTTCACCTAAGGGATGTGGAATCCTAGTAAGTTTTGTGTAAATTATGTTTCGAGCGTATATTTAAAAACTATCGTTTCGAGTTTATATATGTGCGTATTTAAAAAAAAAAATTTAAGGTGGGAAACAAAATTGAATTCAGGAAGAGAAATTCACATTTGCACGTGCTTAAAAATGTCTTTGAAATAACCTGTTTTTTTTTTGGGCAGGCATGGTGAAGCCAGAGAGTGAGGAAACTGTGCAACCTGAAGGTTATGGCGGTGGCCACGGAGGACATGGTGGTTACGGAGGGGGAGGAGGCCACGGACATGGAGGACACAACGGAGGAGGGGGCCACGGACTTGACGGATACGGAGGAGGAAATGGTGGTTACGGAGGTGGAGGACACTACGGAGGAGGTGGTGGAGGACACTACGGAGGAGGTGGTGGAGGACACTACGGAGGAGGTGGTGGAGGACACCACGGAGGAGGAGGCCACGGGCTTAACGAACCTGTTCAGACTCAGCCGGGTGTTTAAAACTATATCATATATTCACCACCATCCATGATTGCATATATATATATACACTTATGTATTATGTGTATGCTTATAAATAAACCATGGTGAGTTTGTAACACAGTGCCTTCGGAAATGTTTGGAATAAAGTTCCATTATAATCTGCGCTGTTTGCATAATAAAATCGTTTGTAGGTCATGTTACGCTCTTTCAGTTTTTTTTGTAAGAGTTTTATTTCCTTATTCATATTCTTAGGGTTAGTGAAAAAAAAGATGGTAAACTGGCTAGGAATTTTTTTCTTAAAAGAAAAGATTACCAAAAACCTAGAGACTATCGAGGTTTTGCATACACCAACACTTACGAAGTTAATTAAACATATGGAAGTGATACGAGATATGGGATCAATTAAAACACAGCAGGGTGATTTGTAATCAAGAGTCTGTTGGATCAACAAGTGTCTATCGAACGCAGATGGGTGATCTATAACCAGGTGTCTGTTGGAGCAACAAGCACCTGTGGAGAATGGAGGAGTAACGTGCATGGGAAGCAGCAAGCATGGAATAAAGATGACGTGGCGAGCTGCTATTGATATGATTTAATGGCGTATCTTTCAGGATATTGACGAATCAACAAATAGAAGATTCGGAGATATCTAGATTATGGAAACTAGGTCAGCCACGTGATGTGTGGTTGGACCTATATAAGGCGGTCTAAGCGTTAGGCTTAGGTTAGCCGTTTTCCCCATTTCTGTGAATCACAAGATCAAAAGCGGGAAAAGCTTGTTAGGGTTATTGGTGAGTGAATAGAGAGCAAATCACAGCTATTGTTGTGTCAGCGAGTTGGGTAGATTAAGAATTGGTCAGTGATGAGTTATGTCAACGTCGTGTAAATCTGATTAAAAAAATCTGTTAGATTGTTTAAGTGATTCCTAATAAAGAAAAGAGGTTTTTTTTCAATTCTGTCTACATCTACGTAATAACAATAACAAGAGCAAGAACAAAAGCTTTGGATTATAACAGAAAGTTCCATAAGGAATCTATGATAATAATTGATTTGCAATTAACAAAACCATAGTTGCAAGTCTCACTTTCGCTTTCACATTTGGTGGAGATAAAACCTATTTCTTTTCATTACTCGGAGGTGGGTGTTTTGCTGATTCTTTTACACGATATTAACATTTTGTGGGTGCATAAGTGACAGCTGAATATCTGAATTCTTTCAAATACGGAAAGCCCTTAGAGTAGTGGAACTTCGCTTGTATTCGTTTTGGGTTCAGATTGGCTGATATTTTATATTTTGTACTAAATCTATTTAAACTAGGCCTAAGGTTTATATCCGTTATCCGCAGATATCCGTATCCATATCCGGTTTTTGATCCGAAAAAAATGGATATCCGGCAAAACGGATACGGATACGGATAGTAAAATGACGGATATCCCGGATACGGATATGGATACGAATAATTCTAAAATTTGGGCCGGATAACGGATATCCGGCAAAAAATATAATAACAAATCTATATATAATAGCAATCTAATAAATACGATTTGCATATTTGAACGGTTGCGTCTTTTTATCGCAACCTTTCGTTTAAATCGGCTATTTTCTTACAGTTATTTTGGTTGCGTCTTTTTATCGCAATTTTCGTTTTAATCGGTTATTTTTTTACGGTTATGTCGTTTCCAATAAATACCATTTGCACATCTGAACGGTTGCGTCTTTTTATCGCAACTTTTCATTTAAATATTGGCGGTTATTTTTTCGGTTGTGTTTTCTTATCGTAACTCTTCGTTAAAATATTGAAGGTTACTATCTTTTGTTGACAGTTATTTTTCAGTTATGTTTTTTTATCGCAATTTTCCGATAAAATATTGGCGGTTACTTTTTCGTTTATGTCTTTTTCGTAATTTTCCGTTAAAATATAGAAGGTTATTTTTTTCTCGGTTGTGTCTTTTTATCGCAACTTTCCGTTAATATATTGACGGTTATTTTCTCTCGGTTATGTCTTTTTATCGCAATTCTTCGTTAAAATATTGACGTTTACTTTTTTCGTTGACAGATATTTTTTTTGGTTGTGTCTTTTCATCGTAACTTTCCGTTAAAATATTGATGGTTACTTTTTTCGTTTGTATCTTTTTATCACAACTTTCCTTAAAAATATCAACAGTTATTTGTTCTCAGTTATGTCTTTTTATCGCAAATTTCCGTTAAAATATTGACGGTTATTTTTTCAAAGGTTCTGTCTTTTTATCGCAACTCTTCGTTAAAATATTGACACTTATTTATTCTCGGTTGTGTTTTTTCTCGCAACTCTTTGTTAAAATATTGTCGGTTATTTTTTCTCAGTTGTGTCTTTTTATCGCAATTATTCGTTAAAATATTGACGGTTATTTTTTTTGTTGACGGATATTTTTACGATTGTGTTTTTATCGTAAATTTCCATTAAAATATTGACGGTTACTTTTTCGTTTGTTTCTTTTTATCGCAACTTTCCGTTAAAATATTGATGGTTATTTTTGCAGTTGTGTTTTTTATCGCAATTTTTGTAAAATATTGGCGGTTACCATTTTCGTTTGTGTCTTTTTATCGTAATTTTCCATTAAATTATTGACAGTTATTTTTTCTCGGTTGTGTCTTTTAATCGCAACTTTCTGTTAAAATATTGACGGTTATTTTTTCTCGGTTGTGTCTTTTTATCGTAACTCTCTGTTAAAATATTGGATATTACTTTTTTTGGTGACGATTATTTTTTCGGTTGTATCTTTTTATCTCAATTTTCCATTAAAAATTGAGGATTAATTTTTTTGTTTGTGTCTTTTTATCGCAACTCTTCGTTAAGATATTGACGGTTACTTTCTTCGTTGCCGGTTATTTTTTTGGTTGCGTCTGTTTATCATAACTTATGTTAAAATATTAACGGTTACTATTTTTGTTTGTGTCTTTTTATTGCAACTCTTCGTTAAGATATTAACGGTTACTTTTTTCGTTGCCAGTTATTTTATTGGTTGTGTCTTTTTGTCATAACTTTATGTTAAAATATTAACGGTTACTATTTTTGTTTGTGTCTTTTTATCGCAAATTTTGGTTAAAATATTGACGGTTATTTTTTCTAAGTTGTGTCTTTTTATCGCATTGTTTCGTTAAAAATATTGACAGTTATTTTTTTGGGACAGTTCTATTTGTTCAATTATAGTCATATTTTTTTAGTTTATGGTTGTGTCTTTATAGTTGCATCTATTCATTTAAATACGTCTCTATACTATATTTAATTGCATTTTTTCATCACAACTTTTTTGTATGAATAGTTGTCTATTTAAATGTTCATAACTTTTGAACTCTATATATTTGTCCTTCTTTCTAAATAGTTCCCAAGTTTTGTTTTTTAACATAGATTTATTGTTTCGTGATGAATCCAAAAAAAAAAAAATCTGTAAAATGGCTCTAAATTCTTTATTCTCTAAACTATTTCTAAACATATAACATTTTAATATTAAAGAAATTCTTCTCATTCTTGATCTAACCATTGTTTTTTAGAATGATTATAAAAATGGAGAAGTTTTAATCATCTTTACATATAAAATTCTAATGAAGACACCGACAATTTTTTTCTTAGAATTGGACGAATTTTATAGTAAATTTTTTTTTATTTTAACTATTTTATATGATAACAATGATGCTTTCTATCTTAAAGAAATATATATGGGTTGTATACAAGAAACTATTAATGTTGCGTTAATACTATTACAACTAGGATATGACCCGTGGTACACCGCGGGTTAATTATTTGATTTTTTAAATCATTTTGTAAACTGATGAATTTGTTGTTTATAATATTATTTGTTGTATACCGCGGATCACATGCGTTGTAACTAAAAAATAAAAATTTTAAGTTGTATTTGTTTTGTTTAGTGTTTAAGATTGTATAATTGTATTTTGATTTGTTAATTCTAGGATTTTACCCGTGGTATATTGTCCGTATTAATATCGACCCAAACCCGTCTCACTATATATTCCCGTCTTGTGAATTAAACATCATTTTGTTATTTTTTTAATAACACTTTTATTTAAAAGACATATAATTCGAGTCAATTTAAAAGTTTGTTTTCAAATGGTTTCCATAACATATATATATTTTTAAATTAGTGTGTGTTTTTGGACCAACCCGTAAAAACAATTTATAATTTTATCTTAAAATACTAAATAATTGTATTTTGATTTGTTAATTTTAGGATTTCACCCGTAGTATACGGTCCCGCTTTGGATAATTGTAGAAATTAAGGAAAGTTCTAAATGATTCAATTCCGGGTCAGAAAAAAAAAACGACCTAATTAAATACGCAAATTTGTTCTTCAAAAATGTTAATATATATTACACACATACTTTTTTTCTTGATTGATTAAGTAATATATGTCCGTTTCAAAAAATTTGAATCATAGCATATGCAGGAAAAAATCTAAGGTTTTATTAACTACATATATTTTATAATAATTCAAATAATATAAATATAAGATCAAATAAAAGTGAAATGAGAATCATATATTTATGTATAAATTAGGTAGAGAGGTTTTAGGAAATTAGCTCAAATTTGTTATATTAGCATTAAATCATCATATTTGATTTCCTTATCTATAAAAATCGTAAATAATATACCATAAATAAAGAGTTTAGATATAGTAATTAATTGAGAAAATATTTTATATATTTTAGATTTTATTAATTAATTCCGTTTTTAAATTTTGCCAAAATTTAAGGAAAGATCCGATTGAGATTTCCGGGTCAAAATTGAATCAAAATCCAACCCGATTAGGATCCCTTAAAAGTGTTGCAAAAATGTATAGTAGAAGTCTAAATATGAGATAACATCCTCATGTGACCCTTGTGATTTTGCGTTTTAAATGTGGTAAACGTCAAATGAATCGTTTCAAATGTTATAGTAATCGAGAAATCATCTACATTATTAGGCAAAAAAGCAATGATTCCAATTCGTCAAATATTTATTCAAGGAAGAAGTTTTTTTACTCAGTTAATTTATCAATATATATAAATATAATTTATGAGATCTTGTAAAATGTATATTTTTTTGCAATAGATGTAATTTAGGTCAAATTTTATATTTTTGAACATATATAATAGAATAAATATTAATTTTATATTTAAAGAATA